AGAGAGAGAGATAATGGACAGTGTTGTGGAATGAATGTGTCCATCCCAGAACATATATGTTGAAATTCTAACCCTCAATGTGATGGGATTAGGAGTTGAAGACTGTGGGAGGTGATTAGATCACAGAAGGGAACCCTCAGGAATGTATGCATGCCCTTAACACAAGAGGCACCGAGCACTTGGTTCCTTGTCTCCCTGCTCTCTGTCTGCTTGAGGCCACAGCAGGAGATACATCACCCAGCTACATCTGGACCACATCAGCTGCAAAACACGTCATTAACCTTGGCAAAGTAAACTTTCTAAATTGAGACCTATTAGATTCTTTTGGTTCACAAGCTCATGAACACAGAAGAAATCAAGATAGAAAACAAACGATCTAATGAAAAGCATAAAATAAGTTCATAAATCTGAACTCCATATATATTGAACATAGAGGAAATGGTCTTCTCAAACTGTGTGTGTTTATATTAGATCGCATTTTTGAAAGACATTTCTAATATTTGATTAACCATCCTATGTATTTTTAGCCAATATAAAACTGAAAATAATAAATGATCAATTGTATACATACATTTAACTTCTTAATATTTCCCATAGCGTTGCTATTACTATTTTATGTTATTGGAGTAGGTGCTCAGTCTATCTTTGATATATTACTGGAGTGGTGTCTTCCACAATGGTGCTCAGACTCTGTGGTGTACGAGTGGATAAACTGTTAAGCAGGAACCTAGGAGAGCCAGGATGTCAAAATTCAAGTCCTTTAAAACTAGGAAGACATACTCCTTACTGCACAAGTCAAGGTCATAAGATGTTAATGGTTAAGGAAAGGAGCTTATGGTATCTGCAAGGACAAACTCCTACAGAAACACAATTCCACATGACCCAATATCCCATGACAATGTATGCTTCTAAGATAATTACAGTCATGCTTTCAAGTACTTGCACACTAAAATACCAAGGATCGCTTTAAATCAACAAAGTAGTAAGTTTTGTCACACTATCAGCCCACCAGCAGTTAGCTTAGCTTTTACCTAAGCCCCTAAACAAGAAAAACTTGAAACAAGAGGCATTCCCCCTGCTTTCTGAGGAACCCTACTGTGTAACTAGTAGCTTTTTTTTTTTTTTTTTTTTTT